CAGCTCCCTAAAATGTGTCTGGCAAGGAAGAAGATGGTTCAAGTACTTGGCACCCTGCCAACCATGTAAGAGACCTGGATGGAGTTTCAGGCTCCTGACTTCAGTCTGACCCAGACCCGACAACTGTGGCCATTGGGCAGTGAACCAGTGGATAGAAGATTTCTTTTAGTGTGTCTCTCCCTCTCTGTGTATCATTCTGTCTTGCAAATAAATAAAATAAATTTGGGTTTATAGGTCTAGGCCTGGACACAGGTATCCTAGGTTTTTATTGTACAGCCTATCTATCTTGTTAGTTCATAAACTGATGGTCTCCATGGTCAAGTTTAGCTGGCTCTCAGGAGCACAAATATGAGGACTGTTTCCTTTAACTTACAGTTCAAAGTAAACCAGCACCAACAACCAAAGCTAAATAATTACATAAATTAATTCCACTGCCAGTACTGTTGTATTGGTATCAATATCTGAATTTAGCCCAAAGAACAACCCAGAGATTAAAGCCATAGAGCCAGAACTTGAACTAGGATCCCTAATGGAGATTAATATTTTCTTCAGTAGTCTGGCAGCTGAATCATGGTCTAATTAAATAGTTCAGATTTAGTGAGTTTGCATTTAAAGTATTAGCAGATCTGAGAATGGGTAAAGCTAAAATGAGTTAGAATCTTTTCTGTAAATGGGAAGTTAAATTATCATAGTAATTTGATTAAATCATTTTTAAATCTCTCGAGCTAAATCACAGGCTTTAAAGAATAGTTTGAAGTCTTAATTGCTGTTTGTGAGCATATCTCTCTGCTATTTGTTCTCGCCTCATTTCCTGTGACATCCTATAATATATATCCTGCTGGGCTGGAGTAGTGGGGAAGGCAAGGCTTCGGGTGCAGGCTGAGGTGACTGTGTGGCTGCCTGTAAGCACTTCAAGGTATGCCGTGTAGAAGAAAGGAGACTGATTCTTTATCATTCCAGTGTTTACAGCCAAGACCAAAGGATGGAGTTTGAAGACAGACTTGGAGAAAGACATTTCTAGAAAATAGTGCTGTCTGTAGTAAGGGAGAATCCATACTCTACATGCAATTAAAAATGTCTTCATTAGGAATATTGTAGAGACAGTTGCACTGAAGACGGAAGTGTCGATGAGATGGTTCAGAGAACCATTTCATCTCTCTCTCTTTCACAAGGAAATTCCATGGGCAGTGTTACATATTCAATGAGCATAATTCAATCCAGGAAAACTTAGGTTGAAGCCTCACTATGACACTTACTGTTGTGTCACCTGACTTGCAGGGTCCTTGGGAGATGGAACGAGGCAATGTTCACCTCAAGTAGGTGTTTGATGATTGATAGATTTAGTGTTTATTAAAATCTGCTAGTTTGGGGCCTGGTTAGAAAACAATTGTTTTGTTTTAATTTTGTTTGGTCTCTAAAGAATGCAATCCATCCATCTGTTCCCCTCTGTTTTAATGTGGAGAGTTAACATAGTTCCGGGATAGGTTGGCTAAGTCCAACTTGTCGCTCCCCCTCTTCGCGGAGGAGCGACACTGAACCCTGCCTAGGCTTCATATCCGAGTCACGGCACCATTATGTCGCTCCCCCTCTTCATGGAGGAACGACACAGGACCCTGTGCTGTTCTTTTGTCTGCTCGGCCCTCCCCGGGTTTGCTGCTGGTTCTTCCCGGGTTGGCTACCGTCCCTCCCACCTCCGTGGAAGGGCGGTTCCCCCTGCCACTTTCCCCACTTCCGCGGGGGAGCGGCACACCGCCGGCCGGCTCTCTCGGGGGCTGCACAGGTGTTCCTTCAGATAGATGTTCCTGGTGCATGTTGTCTCTCTCCTCCTTTATAGTCCTCTTCCACCAATCCCAACTCTGCTACCCACATGCCGAGTACGCTGCTCTCCTTCAATCAGGAGCGGAATCAGCTCCTGCAGGTTACTGGTTGAACTGGAGGCAGCTGTGTAGAAGCTGTTTCCTCCTCTCCCAGCGCCATATTGTGGGAGAGCAGATGCATAGAATAAGTCTTAATTCCAGTAACTTAGTCTAGTCCGAGTTGCTCCCCACACAACTCATCTCCATTCCCTATGTACAGGGTCCTTACGGCAATCCTTTGTACACCTAGTCTCATCATTAGTGTGTGTCCTTTCCTTCCATTTTTCTCTGAGGCAGCCTTGAAGTACAGAAATAGAGAGAAAGAGGGGTGGGTATTACTCCTAGTGGATAAGATGTTACCACTTGTGATGTCTACATCCCATTTTGGGGTGTCTGGGTTGAAATCCCATCTTCTGATTCCAGCTTCCTGGTAATGTGTATCCTAGGAGACAGTAGGTAATGGCTCAAGTAGTGTAGTCTTGTGTGGGAGATTCATATTGAGTTTCTAGCTTCTAGGCTCAGCCATTTTGATACCCCTCATAAGTGTGTATACACAATCACATATACATATACTTTTTATATAAATGCATATAATACATACATAAATTTTTTAAAGATTTATTTTATTTATTTGAAAGAGTTACAGAGAGAGGCAAATAGGGAGAGAGAGGTCTTCCACCTGCTGGTTCGCTTCCCAAATGGCCGCAACAGCTGGAGCTGCACCAATCCGAAGCTTCTTCTGGGTCTCCCATGTGGGTGCAGGGGCCCAAGGACTTGGGCCATCTTTTACTGCTTTCCCAGGCCACAGCAGAGAGCTGGATCGGAAGAGGAGCAGTCAGGTCTTGAACCAGCACCCATATGGGATGCCGGTGCTTCAGACCAGGGCTTTAATCCACTGCGCCACAGTGCTGGCCCCAATAAATATAAATATATATAAATTAAAGGAGTGATTGTGTGGTGCCATTTAAAAGAAACAAAGAAAAGCCTATTACAGCATGCCTGTAATTTCCATGGCTGTTTTTCCATAGCTGCACGTGGCTGCAGACAGTGCGTGTGCACATGAAATAGGTGAATGACCATGTAGAGGGGAACCAGGCTGAAGAGAAACGTAGGTGGAAATAGTCCACAGGGAAAGGCTGGATGTATTTTGGGGATGCCTTCCGTACACTCCAGGGCACCATTATCAATGCTATTTCCTTTTTGAGAAGTTTTTGTTTCTACCAGACAGAAATCGAGTCTTGAGCAGTAAATACTTGCAAAGCAGCTCTACTCCAGATTATTCAAAATTCTTTGGAAGAAATGTACACACCAACCTGCGATCCTCTCACCAGCAATATGGTGAAATATTGAAAATAACAGCATAAGAGAAAAAAAACAACATACAAAATACAAAGAAGTTTAAAAACACATGTTGCTAGTTAAATCCATCTATCTTTTCACTACTTTGCCATATTTCTTTAACGTTATATATTTAGCCACTTGATTTTAAATTATGTTGTGTCCCATTTTGTTCATGTGATATATATTTGAATTGTATGAAAGATTAAGCTAACCACATATATCTTAGAGCTCAGCGTTCTCAGAGAACTAGAATTATTAAACATGAAGAATCCCCCAAAGACTCCATTATGTGTAATTAACAGATAAACTGTCATCAGAATCAATAAAACGTGCTAAATGATTCAAACTTGTATATAATTAAGTGTCTCTTTTAGAGCTAGAGCTGTAACTTTTATTTTTTCCCCACATCTCACATTTCTCACAAGAATAATTGTGGCAACCTTCTTAACCCTTTGTTTGCTTGATTGGATTAATTTTCAGATTTGTCATTTAAGGGCAAGGTTCGCCTTCACAAATGTGAAATATGTGTGAGCACTCAATAATCTCAAGACACCATTCGCTTTTCAGCAACAGGGAAGTTGACTGTGCATGCATGCTTTGAAGAATAGTTAGTAGGACATCCAAAATCCTAGAAAGATAAGCAATTTTTTTTTCTTTTTTACTGTTTTGGCCTAGTGCTAGATTCACTGTGTTGACACAGACTTCCTAAGGTCTTAGTCTTCAGCATTGTTCCCCTTTGGAAAATATGGGCTTTTTCCAGGCAAGATTAGAATATATTAACATTTTTAGAAACATAATTTTTAAATTTTAACCTATTTGAAAGGCAGAGCAACCAGAAGAGAGAGATAAAGAGAAAAACAGATGGAGAGATACTTGGGTACTGGTTCACTACTCAATTTCCACAAAGCCAGAACTGGCCTGGATCAAGTTGAAGCCAGAAGCCATGTCCATGCTATTTAGGTGGCAAGGACTTAACTCCTTGAGCCATTATCTGCTGCCTCCTGGAGTGTGCTTGTAGCCAGAGCTGGATCAGCAGCAGAGGTGGACTGAATACTCAGAATTCAGATATGGGATATGAGCATCCCCAGTGATGGCTTAATCACAATGTCCTCCCCAGTTTACTTATTTTTAATTGATTTTTATTTGAAAGACAGACACACAAAGGTCTCCCATCTGCTGGTTCACTCCCCAAGTTCTCGCAACAGTTAGGGCTGGGCCAGGCTGAAGCCAGGAGTTCAGAACTTAATCCAAGTCTTGCATGTGGGTGACAGGAACAGAAGTACTTCATTTGTCATATGCTGCCTCCCAGGGTACGCATTAGTAGGAAACTTTAATCAGAAGTGGAGCCCAGACAGAAAACTTAGGCAGTGCAATGTGGGGTGTGAGGATCTCAGTTGAAACATTAACCACTGCACCAAATGACTGCTCCAAGTTCAGAATTTTAAGCAACTTTATCTCACACAGCACTTAGAATAATACTTTTAATAGATGGCCTTCCATAATTGTTGAGCTGAATGAATAAATTCATGAGTGAGGTAATGAATAAAAGACCCAAGATTATCATCTGTTAACAGAATAGCCTTTTCTTGGCCAGTCTTAGGAGAAAGCACAAGTTTTCAATAATAAGGAATTCCCACCTTCTAAACTAATATTTGAAATTGCTGATGGGGGAAGTTGGAAATGTGAGACTCTGAGCTTTAAGCTTGGAGAAGTTCAAGAACAATGCTTAACTTTTGTAACTTCCGTCTGCATCGGTTGATGGCGACTAATGTGATTCCTTGCGTTTTCTGCTTCGTTGTACAGACTCCATGCACATAGAAGACGTAGAAGCCGTGCAGAAGCTTCAGGATGTCTTGCACGAGGCCCTGCAGGATTACGAGGCTGGCCAGCACATGGAAGACCCACGCCGAGCCGGCAAGATGCTGATGACGCTGCCGCTGCTCAGGCAGACCTCCACCAAGGCCGTGCAGCACTTCTACAACATCAAACTCGAAGGCAAAGTCCCCATGCACAAACTTTTTTTGGAAATGCTGGAGGCCAAGGTCTGACTAAAAGCTTCCTGGGCCTTCCCATCCTGCACGTCGAAAAAAGGGAAAATAAACCCAAGAGTGATGTCGAAGAAATGTAGAGTTTAGTTAACAACATCAAAAACCAACCAAGACTGCACTGATATTTTAGCAGCAAGACTGTGAAGCAGCCTTCAGACTCCTGCGTCTTCCTGACGATTTCTACTTTTTCGCTCATCTTTTCTCCCTTTCTTTCATTTCTCTTCCTCTCCAGTTTGTTTTCTCCCTGCCTTCTTCCCCCCTCCCTGTTTCTTGGCTTCCTTCATTCGTGGTTTCTTCTTCCCCTCATTTCCTTCCTTCCTTCTTTCTGCTCGCCTGCCCTCCCTCCCCCCTTTCCTTCCTTCCTCCCTCCCTCCCTCCTCTTCCTCTTTTCTCATTTTCCCTTTTTCTTCTAAATTTTAAATGGTTCTAGTTGCAAGAAATATTTCCTTCCTCCCCTCCCCTCCCCTCCCCTCCCCTCTCCTCCCCTCCCCTCCCCTCTCCTTTCCTCTCCTCTCCTCACTTCTCCTCTCCCCTTCTCTTCCCTGCCTTTCCCCTCCCTCCCTTTCTGTTCCTATCCTTCCTGCTGCTGCTGAACTTTTAGAAGAAGTCTAACAGAGAGTGGTGGAAGCCAGCCCTGCCAAAGGATGGAGATCCATTGTATGGATGCCAGTGACCTTAGCGTGAACCATAGCGTCCCCAATGACTGAGGAATCAAAGCGAGAGAACCAACGCACCTAGAAGTACAGTGCAACACAAACGAATTGACTGATGCAGTATTAGGCTTCACGGGAGCAGCCTCTGATTAGACAACCTCAGCCACGTTGCATCGGCTGCTGCTTATCATTGCTTTTCCATCTAGATCAGTTACAGCCATTTGATTCCTTAATTGTTTTTCAAGTCTTCCAGGTATTTGTTAGTTTAGCTACTATGTAACTTTTTCAGGGAATAGTTTAAGCTTTATTCATTCATGCAATACTAAAGAGAAATAAGAATACTGCAATTTTGTGCTGGCTTTGAACAATTATGAACAATTATGATGAAGGACAAATGAATCCTGAAGGAAGATTTTTAAAAATGTTTCGTTTCTTCTTACAAATGGAGATTTTTTTGTACCAGCTTTACCACTTTTCAGCCATTTATTAATATGGGAATTTAACTTACTCAAGCAATAGTTGAAGGGAAGGTGCATATTATCACGGATGCAATTTATGTTGTGTGCCAGTCTGGTCCCAAACATCAATTTCTTAACATGAGCTCCAGTTTACCTAAATGTTCACTGACACAAAGGATTAGATTACACCTACAGTGACTCGGCGTAGTCACGCCTGTAAGCACTGCACATCGAACACTGATCCGTAGAGTTATCACAAGTGCACCTCTCTACCGGGAGGTCCAGTTGCCATATTATTTCTAGCTGCCTCGGTGGTTAGGAGTGAGATTCTGCCTATTTGCAAAGTTGCAGACCTTGTCTCAGAAGGAGCTGTGAGCCAGTATTCATTGAAGAGGCAATAAGGCAAATGCCAGAATTAAAAAAAAAATATCAAAGACAGCAGACGCCTGACCAAATTCTAAAACCTGATCCATATGAGTTTATTCATTTAGAAATGTTTGTTTAAATTAATCTGCGGTTTTTTACCAAGAGCTAAGCCAATATATGTGCTTTTCCACCAGTGTTGTCACAGCATGAAAGTAAGTCAGGTTTCAGACTGTTGAGGTGTAATCTAATGAAGAAATCAATTAGATGCCCCCGAAATCTACAGTCGCTGAATAACCAATAAACAGTAACCTCCATCCAATGCTATACCAATGGACCAGTGTTAGTAGCTGCTCCCTGTACTATGTGAACAGTCTTATTCTATGTACACAGATGTAATTAAAATTGTAATCCTAACAAACAAAAGAAATGTAGTTCAGCTTTTCAATGTTTCATGTTTGCTGTGCTTTTCTGAATTTTATGTTGCATTCAAAGACTGTTGTCTTGTTCTTGTGGTGTTTGGATTCTTGTGGTGTGTGCTTTTAGACACAGGGTAGAATTAGAGACAATATTGGATGTACAATTCCTCAGGAGACTACGGTAGTATATTCTATTCCTTACCAGTAATAAGGTTCTTCCTATTAATAATTAAGAGATTGAAACTCCAAACAAGTATTCATTATGAACAGATACACATCAAAATCATAATATTTTCAAAACAAGGAATAATTTCTCTAATGGTTTATTATAGAATACCAATGTATAGCTTAGAAATAAAACTTTGACTATTTCAAGAATATAGATAAGTCTAATTTTTAAATGCTGTATATATATGGCTTTCACTCAATCATCTCTCAGATGTTGTTATTAACTCGCTCTGTGTTGTTGCAAAACTTTTTGGTGCGGACTCGTTTCCAAAACTATTGCTACTTTGTGTGCTTTAAACAAAATACCTTGGGTTGATCTTTCATCATCCCAGTGCTAGGAATACTGTGTATCTATCATTAGCTATATGGGACTATATTGTAGATTGTGGTTTCTCAGTAGAGAAGTGACTGTAGTGTGATTCTAGATAAATCATCATTAGCAATTCATTCAGATGGTCAATAACTTGAAATTTATAGCTGTGATAGGAGTTCAGAAATTGGCACATCCCTTTACAAATAACAGCAGAAAATACAACTCCTGGGAAAAAAAAAGGTGCTGATTCTATAAGATTATTTATGTATGTAGGTGTTCAAAAAAGATTATTTTCCAGAAAGTTTGTGCAGGGTTTAATTTGCTACTGTTCAGCTACACTATATATAAATAAAATATAGACAATATATACATTGTTTTCGCTGTATCACATTAAAGTACTTGGGCTTCAGAGGTAAGAGGCAGCCAGCTGAAAACAGGAGATGGAGATGAGATACAGTTTTAGTTTTCAGTTTAATTAACACTCTGCATTACAAAAGAATAAGTATTTCACAAATAGGAATCAAACACTAAAATTAGATCTAAAAGAACTGCACGGGCTTTAGGGTTAAATGCTCATCTTAAACCTCTCTGGAGGATACTTTTTCAAGATTAAAGCAAGACCAGTTACTTAATGTGAACTTTTGGGAAGTTATAAAGGTGTATGTTTTAGTCATATGATTTTAATTTTTATTTTGCTTCTTTTAGGTTTGTTCTTATTTAAAGCAATATGATTGTGTGTGACTCCTTGTAGTTACACTTGTGTTTCAATCAGATCAGATTGTTGTATTTATTCCACTATTTTGCATTTAAATGATAACATAAAAGATATAAAAAATTTAAAACTGCTATTTTTCTTATAGAAGAGAAAATGGGTGTTGGTGATTGTATTTTAATTATTTAAGCGTCTCTGTTTACCTGCCTAGGAAAACATTTTATGGCAGTCTTATGTGCAAAGATCGTAAAAGGACAAAAAAAATTTAAACTGCTTATAATAATCCAGGAGTTGCATTATAGCCAGTAGTAAAAAAATAATAATAATAATAAAACCATGTCTATAGCTGTAGATGGGCTTCACATCTGTAAAGCAATCAATTGTATATTTTTGTGATGTGTACCATACTGTGTGCTCCAGCAAATGTCCATTTGTGTAAATGTATTTATTTTATATTGTATATATTGTTAAATGCAAAAAGGAGATATGATTCTGTAACTCCAATCAGTTCAGATGTGTAACTCAAATTATTATGCCTTTCAGGATGATGGTAGAGCAATATTAAACAAGCTTCCACTTTTGACTGCTCTTTCGTATTGTGTTTCTTCTTTTCCCACTAAAGAATCAAATCAATAAACACTGCCCTTTGTTGCTCCCATTCAAAGAGTATCTCTGAGTACCTGTTTCCTAAAAATAAAGTAGGAGTTTAAATAAGAGCTATATAAAGGCTTGTCAGAATGAATTCTAATGTGCCCTGAGACACTTTGCATACTCTTAAATATGCAAAATGTCTCTTGGCACCCTAGAATTCATTCTGACAAGCCTTTATATAGCTCTTATTTAATCTTAAAGCATCTCCACATCATCCTGCATTACTCAAAATCATCGCTTCTATGTCAATGTCATAACAGAAAACTTTCCCCCCTATTTTAAGATCATATTAAAACCTGCTAGAGACACCTATTATTTCCCTCTCTCAACAGTTAAATCATGCACCCGCGCCGAGCTTTTCAGCAGGACGGAGGCCCCGTGCAGCAGCAGTGAGTTGCCGACCACATTTCCTGAATGGGAGTCAGCAGCAGAGTTTATAGATCGCTGTGAATTAGGAGGGGGAGCTGTCTTCGAATTCAAGAGAGTTAAACAGCACCACTGACAGCAAATGGCCCCCCCGGCCTTTTACACTCGGAGAGGTTACAGCCCTCGCTGCTCCGGGTCAAGTTGTAGCTTCCACTGGACCCTCCTGGAGCCATCACCGAAGTGCTAATATGTGCTTTCCTGGCTTCTCTGCCTATCCTGAGAGTGTTTTGTCATTGTGTTTGCCCACCATATTTCTCACCTTTCAGAGGTGGCTGGCTCTCTGGAGGAGCAAGCTGATGACACAAAGGCCACTAGGCTGAATTGGTTTTAGGAGCATGAGATTACCTAAATCACTAAGATGTGCTCGCTCACGGGAGCTCAGCAGGGTCTGTCCTGTTTTAATGTCTTTAGAGGGGGCAGCCGCTCAGTGTTGACTCCGAGAGATTTTACTTTGGATATTTTCAAAGTACTGGGGCGGAATTAAAACAATCCAAGTTACCAACCTTCAAAGACATATATTGCATCTAGAATTTTCCAGTGAGGTTCTCAGAGGTTTACAGACTCAACTTGCTTGCTGTTTTTTGTACTTTAGAATTATTACAGATCAATATTCCTAGTACTGATGTTTTAATCATGTATGCTTTGGGTGTAAAAAAATAAAGCACAGTTTTGGCATATTGTGTTTCTTAGTATATAATGGTACTAGAAAACAAATCATGGAAAATGGGATAAAACTTTTGAAATCTAAGCATCTTTTTCCTAGTATACTTTTTGAAGATATGTTTTATAGATGGATTCCAAAATTGCCCCCAAAATAAACTAATCTTTTAATTCCATTTACATAAACATTAAAAAGTACCCTTGTATAAGCAAGTAACTCTGACAAATGGGTTATATATTTGTTGTTGTTAATTTGTATTTATTTATTTGAGAGAGAGAAAGTTCCCATCTGCTGCTTCACTCTACAAATGCCCACAATGGGTGGGGCTAGGCAGGCGCCAAGCCAGGAGCTAGGAACTCAATCCATGTCTCCTATGGATGTGGCAGGAACCACATTAGTTGAGCCATCACTGCTCTCTCTCAAGTTCTGTGCTGGCGGGAAGCTGGAGTCAAGAGCTGGAGCCAGAAGTTGAACACAGGCTGTCCAGTAGGGGATCTTGGTGTCTACACACTAGGCTGAATGTCTGCTCCTTATATATTCCTTTGAAGGAATCACTTTTATTTTACCAGTTGCTTATAGACAATTTTTTGAAACAAGTGTTTCTTAAACTTGTTCCCCTATTTGGGTCACCTGGGGGATGTCAGTCCCACCCACAGGGATTGAGGTTTCATCGTTGGAGAAGGGGCCTGGGCCTTGGGATGTTTAGAAAGAATCTCCAGGTGAGTCCAGCTGAATCAAAATCCACGTGGGAAAGGGCTGCTTTAATTGTTATACTCTTCTCCAATAAGCCAGGGCTTGGCCTCTAAGGTAAAGGACTTTTACAGATGGGTTCTTGAGTTTTTGTTAGGGTTTAGGGTTTTCGTTTTGGTTTTACTATCATGACAATTTATTTTTTTCTTTTTTCTCACGGTGTGAAATGCACCTTGATTTTTTTTGACATTCCCTCTCCCTACTAACACTTTCCTCATTCCCAACTCCTCCTTTCCCAAACACAGGGGGAACACATTTTATTAGCTTGCTCCCAAATCCCATTTCCTGGTTATGCCCATGCTCAAACACCTGGGTGCAGCATATCTCACAATCATTTTTAAAATCCTATTAATTTGGTCCTTTACTGACATATAAAATTAATTTAAATGTGTTTAAAAATACCTGTGTTTTTTTTCTCCTGAAAAGCAAATGAAATTTTGATTTCTTGGAATGGCTTCTTTTACTTGTGGTTGATTTATGTGAGAAGTAGAAATGAAAAAAGAATAGAAACAGAGAATTTCATTCTTGTTTTTTTGCAAAAACTTTACGCATACTTTACCTATTGCAAAATTTGATTTGTGATTAATCTGTGGGGGAAGAAAAGAGATATGCTTAATTTTTGTTTTAATCCACAATGGTTTACACACCGAATGGATGCTTCGATAATCCAATAGAGGGGAAAGTATTTAAGTCACTGTGTCTTGCTCTTTCAAATCCCAGAATCTAGCTCCTTATGCACCTTGGTGGTATAGAAAATACAAAATGAAACAAGCAGCAATTGATGGATTGCATACTGTGTCTTATTGTGCAACAAAAAGGAATTTCAAAATATAATTGTCCTTTCCCAGGAGTATTTATCTTGTTCTCCATGAAGTTAAAGGTCTGAAATAATGTGCCCATCAGGGCTCAGTGTTGCATGTCCATGCCAGTTGGTCCAAGGGCTTGTTATGATGGTAATGACCTACTGGAACGTGAGCTTGGATTGCAACAATACGACTGCTACCAGCTCACCCGCTGGGAGAAATATTTTATTATTGTCAAATATCCTCCACAGAGATTTGTTTTGCCTGTTCCTGTTTAAATTAAATTCAAAGCAGAACTGTATTACTATTTCTCTAGAGTGTATTTCAGATAAACAACCAGTCTCAAAATTTAGGATTCCTGGCTAGTTCAAATTTGTTTATTAGCAGAAAAATTACAATAGGTGACACCATAGCTGCAGGAATATCATGATTGCAGCTACACAAGAGATTTACGTACTGAGCCCATGGCCTAAAAGCAAGAACTCCCTTTTTCATTACAGATGTCGGCCAGATTAATAATTAACAGCTCCATCAATTGTACAACCTTAACAAAAAGATGTACCACTGTGCTAATGCATGGCCATAACATGCCACAGGACATGAAACAGAAACATTGCTCCAAGTAAGTATGTTTAAATTTAAGATCATAAGCCAAATGTGTGTTGCATGTATGTGTGCATGTGTCTGTGTGCACAAAATTTTTTTAAACAGCAGTGTAGTAGACGCAGCACAGAGTGCAAAGCAGGAATGAAACTGCTCTTTGAGCATGATATATCTTTCCCAACATTTACCAAAAAACAGTATTTGTTTTATTTGAGAGTCAGAGAATTAGAGAGAGAGATGAGAGAAACAGAGAGCACTCTCATCTGCTAATTCACTCCCCCAAAGCCCCCGACCATCAGAGCTGGACCAGGTGGAAGCCAGGAGTCAGGAACTCATTCCAGGCCTCCCATGTGAGTCCTTAACCCATCACCTGCTGCCTCCCAGGGTGCACATCAGCAGGAAGCTGGAATCAGGAACAGAGCTGGGACTCAAATCCAGGCACATTGATATGGGATGTTGGCATCCCAACTGGTGGCATTTCAACTGCTAGGTCAAATGTGCACTCCCCACCGCCCCAGATAGTTTTTTTAAAGGAATTGAAAAGAATGCCCTGGAGTAGATGAGATTGCTTGTATAATTTTCTTGAACCTGTATACCTCAGATTTGACAAAGGATTCTGTGATAGTGAAGGTTTTGTCAACACAAATTTTGTAGGATGCATTCAAATGAGAACTACAGTTTATTTTACCAAAAAAAAAATACAAAAAAAAAAGAGGGGGGGAAGAAGGAAGGAAGGAAGGAAGAAAGGAAGGAAGAAAGGAAGGAAGGAGAGGGAGGGAGGGAGGGAGGAATGATAGGAAGGAGGGAGCCTGTTTCCTCTGTGAAATTAGTAGTGGCCTGTGTGTTTTGTAACGGGCTGAACTTGGAGAAAAACTGCTGGGAGGGGTGACTAAAAGGGCCTAACAGAAAACATTTCAGACTAGCAGGAGCACTAAATCACACTATTCACACTCCAATCCAATCTGCCATGCTCAGTCAGATTTCACAGTTTTGTTGGGAAGTGAAGAACTGTCTGCTATTTAAAACACACACACAAGAAAACAGCCCAGAAAACTAAAACCATAAGAGCAATTTCCAAAATAAGTTCTGTCGTTATGCAAGAGCTGACTCTTTTCCCTTGAAATATGTGATTTCGTATCATTGCAAATGAAAAATACTAAAGATTCATGTTAAAAATTACGTTGCAGATACTTTTGGAATAATCTGAGAGATACTTTATCTCCTCTTTTTTTTTTCTTTTTGCCTTGGTCTTCCTTGCCTGAGCAAAATAAATTGAGCAACCCTGATGTATCAACTTTACCATGCTTGTTAATCAAAGGAAGAGGCATGGCTTATATTTTAAATATGTGAATAGGAAAAATATCCCTTCTCCCAGAGAAATAAATATGTAGTTGAGAATAATTTTGGGCTGGGTAGTAAGTAAAAACATGTTTAGAGAGGAGGAATGTTTTCACACACAGGGAATTCAGTGGTTTACGACTTAGTTGTTGTGACTTAATCAGATTTGATGGTGGTAAAGTAGATTGGGGAAAACGACAGAGCACCAGTACATCATACTGGTTACCTGTGAGAACGTGGAGCATTTACAAAATTGTTGTTTATTATCATTTTATTTGAAAGGCAGAAAGAGAGAGAGAGAGAGAGAGAGAGAGCGAGCGAGCGAGCCACCATTCACTGGTTTCCTCCCCA